AGTCATTTGTGTAGAGGGAGAAGAGCAGTGGGGAGAGAACGCAGCCCTGAGGAGCTCCGGTGCTGATGGTGCGGGTTATGGATGTGAGTTTTCCCAACCTCACAAGCTGCTGCCTGTCTGTCAGGAAGCTGGTGATCCACTGACAGATGGAGGTGGGTACAGAGAGCTGGTTCAGTTTATTCTGAAGGGTGTCCGGGATGATGGTGTTGAAAGTGGAGCTGAAGTCCACAAACAAGATCCTTGCATAAGTCCCTGGTTTGTCCAGATGTTGGAGGATGTTGTGCAATCCCATATTGACTGCATCATCCACAGACCTGTTTGCTTGGTAAACAAACTGTAGGGGGTCCAGCAAGGCTCCAGTAATGTCCTTCAGGTGGGCCAACACCAGTCTCTCAAATGACTTCATCACCACAGACGTTAAAGCAACAGGTCTGTAGTTATGTGATTTTTGGTTTCTTGGGTACAGGGATGATGGTGGAACATTTGAAGCAGGAAGGGACTTCACACAGCTCCAGGGATCTGTGATAGCTGGACAGCGCAGGCTGGAGAGACACCGTCTGGGCAGTGCTGGACAAAATTATTAGAACACTAGTATTTTCACCAGCTAAAAAAATGGTTTTAAGTCAGTGATTTCTATCTTTTTCTGTAGTCAGTAGGAAATGTCAGTTTACATTTCCAAACATTCATTTTGCCATTAATTGTAATAATCTTGTGAGATTTTTGTTTGCACAAGGAGTCTGACAACAGCCAGTGCTCCACACAGAGATCTGATCTCATCATCATCCAGTCTGTCTGGAATGACATGAAGAAACTGAACAAACTTAGACAGACTAAATCAAGAGGAAATGTGGCAATGTCTCAAAGATGCTTCAATAAACCTACCTGCAAAGCTTCAGTACTGGTAAAAGTTTTAGGCACTTGTGTAAAAATGCTGTAAAATGAGGATGCTGTCAAATATAGATTTTCTTAACTTCTATTAACTAAATGAAATAAACATTTGGTGTGACCATCCTTTGTGTTTAAAGCAGATTTTGTCCTAGGTGTACTTGCGCATAGTCTTTCAGGTAGCTTTGCAGGTAGGTCTCTTGAAGCATCTTGGAGACCACAGTTCAGTTCATTGCCACAGTTCTTCTGGATTTAGTCTGTCTATGAAATTTAGCACAGGTGTTTGTCTCTTTACCCTGAGACGAAAGGAAGATATTACAGTCGCTACCACTGTCACCCCTCCCCTTGCCTAAAATGAAGGACTTACATCCATCCCTCCTACTCAAAATGTGTCCACACATTCCCAAATACCTCACATTCTGTAACGCAGAGGCAACAGGCCCTTTGTGGACCGCGTGGACCACCTCAAATACTCGGTCTGTGAAACCGATGAGCTAGAGGGACCTTCCCTTGATGCAGTCTGTAATGTCTCTTCAACAATGTCCATATTATGTCCTCCATCCCTCTGTATGGGTGCTGGTGGCCCTGTAAGAAAGCCCCACCCCCAAGGATACATATGGCAATTACTGTTCACAGGATTGACATTAGAATCAGAAGGTAAAACCTCAACACTTTTCCCTTCTAAGGTCAAGGCTGTATCAAATTTACATGGGCTTAACATATTGCGATGCAACACCCTCTTCTCACCATCAACCCCTTCCTTCTTAACAACATAAACAGGTATATCGAGATTAGGTTGTGACATGACAACATACACATTCCGTTCCCATTTATCATCCAATTTGCCCTGTCCCTGGCCCTCTTATTTAGGACCATGATTCTCTGCCCCATCAACAAAGGTTCCCCCTTAACTTTACGGGTGATGCACCCAGCTGTCAACTGTCCCCAAAAATCCATCTCCCCGGCCCAGCATGATGTCAATGGGCAATTTTGCATGACAGCTAGACAATTAAACAATACGGGGTATAGCCTGTAGAAGGGTGAGGGGTGTTATTGTAGGCCTGTACCAATTCTGTCACATTATGGTCCCAATCCTCTTTCTGATCATCCTTTAAAGTGCCCAGCATACTCAACAGTGTCCGATTAAAACTTTCACATTGTCCATTTCCTGCTGGGTTGATAGGGAGTCGTATGAGACTTACTGATATTATACAAGGAGCATAGCTCTTTAATGACCCTTGATTCAAAATTTGGGCCCTGGTCAGAGTGCAACTGATCAAGCCCCCAAATGACTGTATAAAGTGTTTCCACAACACCCTTGCAGTAATCACAGCAGTCTGGTCCGCAGTGGGCACTGCAACAGCATAACAAGTGAAGTGGTCCATCATAACTAAGATATTACACATCATGCTGCGTGCAGTCTCCAGTGACAAAAAATCAACAGAAAGAATCTGAAGAGGGTATTCTGATTGTATAGATGCAAGAGGGGCACTCACTTTATTTGCAGGAGTCTTGTGCAGGTTGCACTGTCAACGCACTGAAGGCACCATGTAACAAAGTTCATAGTCACGGGAAGGAGGAGACGGGAACCGGCGAACATTCAAACACCACTTCTTCACTCCTCGTGCCAGCCCTGGCCAAAAGAAATGTAGACGGGTCAAGCCCAGAGTCTTTTCCGCCCCCAGGTGTCATGCGTAGTAATGCACCCATTCCAGGACTTGCGTCTGCAGACACTGAGGCACCACTATTTGTTTCCATTTGTCAAATGTCTTTGGATCACATACCTCCCTGCACAGCAGTCCCTGATCCACACAGAGGTGGGCCCACTGTCGCAACAACACTTGGGTAGACCGATCTTCCACTGCTCACTCTCTTAGAGAGGGCCCTCTCCCTCTGTCCATATAGATCCACAGTCATGATACCGCTGGATCAGTCCGCTGTGCCCTCTTCCAGTTGGCTAGCAGACTGAGGCCAACTCAGTCTCTTTGATCTGTATGTACCACTGTCTCAAACTTGTGACCCTCCTCCAGGTCCTCAGTAACTGGAACAAAGGCATGGACACAGGCACGGACGACTTCAGATGTGACACATCCGACCTCACCACATGGGACTGCCCCATTCTCTGTGGGCCCGGCAGAAGTCTCACTCACAGGCCACCTGGAGAGGGCATCAGCATTTCTGCACCCAGATTTGCTGTATTCAGATGAAGATTATTATCTGTTAAAACAGTAAAGGGAGACACAACAAGATATTCCCTAAACTTTTCCACTATAGCCCATTTTAAAGCCAGAAGTTCCAGTTTGAATGAGCTGTAATTTTTATTGTTCCTTTCCATTGGTTGGAGACTTCTACTTGCGTAGGAAATTACTCTCTCCTTCCCCTCTTGGACCTGAGCCAATACTGCTCCCAACCCTGTCTGGCTGGCATCAGTGTACAAAAAAATGGCAACTCAAAATCAGCATATGCCAATATAGGTGCTTGTCGGAGACTCTCCTTTGATTTATTAAATGCAATGTCCTGTGCCTCTCCCCATGCCCAACCATCTGTTTTTCCTGTGGGCGGTCGAGTACGCCGCTTTGATGTCCCCACACAACATCGAGTTCAGTGGTGCTGCAATAAAACTCATTCTGATTCTGATCTGGGTAAAGTCTTTTAAAAAACATCTATAGTATCCTACTAGGCCCAAAAAAGCATGCAACGGAGTAATATTTTGAGGGTTTACCCAGGCCTCCACGGCCCACACATCTGAAATAAAAAAGTAAGCATGCTGTTTACACAAACTACATTATTAACATTATTGTGATGTTCACTGATACTAGTACTAATTTATCGAACCAAAGAACACAATTACCACATAGCAAACATATTTTACCATGCAGTAAATAAATCAAATGAAAGTAACATCTGAGAAAATGGTGAATGCACACTTACTCTAAGATTCTGAACGGAGTAGAAAACTGAACAAGCGTCCCCTTCCTGTGAGAGATGCAGGTGAATGCAAGAGTGGTGTATTCCCCACAGTACCTTAGTATAGTATGCATACTTCATGAGAAAACAAAATGCCAATTCTTACATTTTAACACTATCAACCACAAATAATATTACCACATATTCTAGGAATAATAAAATTGCACTTACTCAGTAGGATTTTCCAGCTAACTCAAAACTGAACGACACGCGCGTGCCTTTTTTGTGCAAGATGCCGGTGATGCCGCCACAGTCCCAAACAAAAATTTTAACCGTTTCAAACATTTCAGCGTCATTACTCCATAAGATACGGGTATAACACATTAAAAATATTTACACCAGAGCAGATATTCATGAACAGAAGCTTAGTTACATTCATAAACACAAGCATGCTTTGTATGTAGGCCTATACAATCAAAAAACTATAGATATAAACATATATGGCTATATTCGTGAACAGAGAATATCCTATCACAGTAAAGTTTTGACTAATCATTCTTACTGACATTAGGCTAGTAACATTATAACTCATATTATGAGTTATACGATACCACATCCTGGCATCATGACATTTAGATGCTGTGAATGAAACTTCATAATGTTTCACTTGATTATACATTTAGTCAGGAATTATAGTTTGGAAAAAGTCTATCTAGTAAAATGTGTACAAGTTATGTGAAAACTAATACAAGTAGATTTATAAAAAAAAAGACTTACTCGTGTTTATGATCACTGCTGGATCAAGTCGCTGCATTGTTTTTTCCTGAGGCAATCCAAAGCTTCTTGAGGTGAATTCTGTCTTATTCCTCTATCCTATCATATCTATAGCGTGCTCCGTGAAAGACTGGACATCGCGTTGTTTTCATATGGATTACTTTATCACAGAATATTTGCTTTTCGATAAGATTTGCTTAGTTTAAAAGTAGACATGTTAAGCTTTCTATAGATATATCTCTCATGTCTCTTTGTTGAGTATTTGCGGAGTTAGTTCATTTTAATAACGCGTCTCTAAATAACGATCACGCAGACCAAGGCGGCAGACAGCACACCCTGTTTGTTTTCTTTATTTTATAAATGCACAAAGTTTTGTTGTTATTATGTGTGTATACAAATAAAAGTAGACCATTTACAGATTCGATTGATGTGTTGCTCTTATCCGGAAGATCAAAACTGAAAGTGTAATTTAAGTTCTTTTCGGTGCTATCAGGAGAAGATGCCAGAAAATAAGTGTAGGGATTTCATACAATTGCTGCTTGGTGTTCTCCTAGGCTGAATTTAAAACCACTCGTTAAACGAGTTAGGACTTTGAAAACTTCATGCAACTCCGTCAACTCATTTCCTTGAATCTTTGTGTGTATGTGTATGTTTTAGTTAGGTTTTTATGTAATCTAGATTAGCCAATAAAATTCATGTTTCATTTATAGAGAAGAATGTCTTGGCTCATATAATTTTGTGTCAATTCTATTGCCAAATGATCCTTGCTTGCTACCTTAACTCGTAGCCTACTTATAATAATTACCTCTGTTAAGAGCGTACAAATAATCTTGATTGTGTTGACTGTGGCCAGGAAAACACATATTAAATTTGTTAAAAGATACCAAGAATCACTGGCTCGCTGGACGACCTTGATTTGAAGTAAAACTAACAAATTTGGAATGGTTGGATCAGGTGGACTTGGGACATTCAGACCCGAGTTCTAGCAAAACCTGAATAAATTAATAATCATCAATTCCCTATAATTACAAATTAATAATGAATAAATAAATGATAATGTCATTTACATAAGTATCCGCATTTGTTGACCCCAATGGGTTAAACCGAAGTCTAAATCTAAGATGGCTGTACTTGTGTCCTTTGTGTGTTTTGTTCTTTTTTTTCTTTTTATTGGTATTTATGCTGTCATCCAACATTTGTAATGTTATTTAAAAAAAAAAATATATATATATATATACAGTGGGTACGGAAAGT